AGTCTTTTGAGGAATCTCCAAATGATCAATAGGCACATGAAAAATGCTCAGTATCACTAATTATCAGAGAAATCAAATCAAAACTATGATGAGGTGTCACCTCACACCAGTCAGAATGGCCATCATTCAAAAGTCCACAAATGACAAATGCTGGAGAGGCTATGGAGAAAAGGAAACCCTCCTACACTGCTGGTGGGAATGCAGTTTGGTGCAGTTACTGTGGAAAACAGTATGGAGATTCCTCATTGCCTAATTTTTTTTTAATCTTCAGGAAAATGGTACTTAAACATTTATTTCTATGCCCAGGTGTCAAAACTGCATAGAAAGTAAACCTTTATATAGTCACAGGAGAGCCTATAAATAAAAGAAAGTCAGCTATGTACCTGGACAGCCTCATTTTGCTTTAAACGCTCTTGAATGAAGAACAGAGTTGGTATGTGGAAGTTTTGAAGTTTGCTTCTCAAGGTTTCCCTAGCAGCCACGAGAACTAATTTCCATGCAGAAAATGGACAGCCCCAAGGCCTAAGATATAATTCTGTTTGCTCATGTTACTGCTCTTCTTTCTATAGCCGGAAATTGTCTGTTGCATTTGTTTTTAACAGTTTATCATTCAAAAAAAAGTATGTATTAACCATTTTTTTCTCTTTAAAGTCAGGAGGTCATGAGTTAAATCTTCTGGTCTGTTCTGTTCGGTTCAAATTCCTGTAAATGTGTTTCCAGATAATTCTCATCCTCGTGGTATTTTAGGGCCTCTACCCAAACACTTCAACCTTATGTTTTCCTTCAACTTCAAAGAGCAGGAGGAGTGGAGGCCTTTTGTGGAAGGGCGGCTGGCAGTGAATTCAGGGGCTGGAGCAGTTACAGCTAAAGATGGATGTGCAGAGACAGGCAGGGTGCTCCATCCTTGCTGATCTCTTCTGCTTGCAGTGTCCAGTCAACAGAGCCAACCATTGAAGGGCACTGGGGGAAAGTGTGGCCGGAGCATCTGGTCCCCAGACATGCAGCATCAGCATCATCTGGAACCTGCTAGAAATGCAGATTCTTGGGCTCCACCCCAGGTCAACAAAATCAGAAACTCTGGGGCTGAGACTCAGGAATCTGTTTAAACAATTGCTCCAGGTGATTCTAAGCACATGAGAGTTTGAGACCCACTGGTCTAGCATATTGCTTCCCTTTTTAGAATGATAATTGTTCTAGTAGATACCAGATTTGGTTCTCGGAGTTGCTGCATGAGCCTTGGAGCTAATAAAACCCCAACCAATTTTTAATTAATATCCTATATATCAAAATTACATCTGTTTAGCAGCTGTATTATACATGACACTGTATGAGATACTTTACAAGAAGGAGCACATAAATAAGGTCTTCATAGGCACAGGTAGGCACTTTTTGACTGTCTTGATGCCTTTTGTTCATGAGTGATTTATTATAAGCATACTGCATCTTTATGATTAAGGCCAAATAAGATACTTTTTCACTTTTTTCTTCAGGAGTAGAAGACCAAAATTGTACCTGCCTGGATTTTGTATCTTTGACCTTAACTCTGTGTTCCAAGATAGCAGCAACAGCAGCTGAATGACACACATGTCACTGGGGAGAGTGGTACCTAGCTAGAGGAGGCAACTGTCACATTTAAAATACGTCATTTTAAAGTGTGTGTAGCTTTTAAATGTCAGTATGACATTAAACATTTGATTCAGACAAGATTTTCTTTCAGCAAATACTTTATTGTTTGTTTAAGAACACATGTGCTCTGGGTGCATTTTCATGAAAACAGAAGAAACTTATGAGTCTTGCCTCAGTTTCCTCATGTGGGCTCAGTTTCTTCATTGGTTTAGCAAAGGGATTAGGCCCAATGTGTCTCACTGGAGGTGCTATTAGCTTTTTTTTGGATGAGATAATTCTCTGTGCAAGACTGCACACTCATCATTCCCAGCCTGTGCCATGCCAGTAATATCTCCTTGTTACTGTAGCAATCAAAATACCCCTACCAAGTGATAGATAAATTCAGTATCTTGATTATGATGGTGGTTTCAGGGATATATCCATATATGAAGATTAACAAATTGTACACTTTACTGTATGTCAGTTATAACTCAGTAATGCAGCCAAATAATACCCCCTAACTACTCCCTCAAATTTCTCCACCTGCCTGAGGGTGAGGGGGTGAGGAAGGTGGGCAAGACTGGCCCTTGTTGCAAGCAGTTGAAACGTTCTCATGTCTGGTGGCTCTAAAATTCAATGCGTTTATCTGGTCATAATTGCTTAGGGTGCCTTGAGATGTTTTAATTCAGTACTGCTGTGAACCTCCAGAATCTGTTCCCTTAGCAACAAAGCACATTGTGTTCTTTCTTTCTTTATTTTAAAGGGGCTCAAAGTTATTTTTAGATATTGTGTTTGGACTATAGATTATTTCATTTTGTAGATGGAGAAAGCTCTGGACCTGTTTCAGATTTGAAGGATGAGATATAATCCCTTTCAACTATCTGGTTCCATGATCTTCCAAAATCACAAAGTACATGAGTAAGAGACCCATGACCATATCTTAATTTTTTGACCCCAAATTCTGTGCTGTGTTAACAAACTCAAGGTTGTAGAAAACTCTTAATGTGTAAATGGGATTAGGAAGAAAGGATGTTTTATGATATATCTGCCATGTAAACATGAACCTGAGGTGGCAACAGAAGGTGGAGTTTGTAATACTAACTATAAACCAAGCATAGTTTTATTAATATAATATTTATATGATATACAGTATTAAATTATTATTATTACCTTTCAT